GGTGTAAAAACTATTCTTCTTTGATAAATTATCTCTTTCTTGTTTATCACTTGATACTATATTAGTTGATTAACTCTTGTCTAATTGTAACAAGATTTTTACTTGTAATAATTTCAGCTTTTAATGTTAAATACACTTAAAGGTCTCATTATTACTACTCTTGGTTAAATTTTGTAATTTAAGTAAACAAACCCCCAAAAAAAAAAAAAATTATAGTTGCTCTCATATGCAACAATAAAATTATCAAAATTGATTGTTGAAAAATATTTTTCATATCATTAAAAATCGTTAATTGACTTAATAATTTATTTACAAAGAATTTAATTATTAATATTGCATAAAAAAATTAATTATTAATATTGCATACAAACAATCACAAACATCTTTTGAAATTCAAATACTCAAACATCTAACACCTTAAATAACCAAACACTTTTAAACATCACAATCTACTATCAGACACCTTAAATGTTTTGGACTCATGACTCATATTCAATTATACTATCACTTTGTCAATATTTTTTGTTTCTTTTGTCTTCTTGATTTTGAATTTCAAACTTTTGGTGGGTGGGTTTCATAGCAAGATCAAATCAACTTCGCAGAATCCAGAATGCCATTGGACTTATTACTCATAATCAATTATACTATTCATCGAAAAAAAATTCTAACTGTTTTCCTATGCAATAATAAAATCATCAAAATTGTTCGTTGAAAAATATTTTTCATATCATTAAAAATCGTTAATTGACTTAATAATTTATTTTTAAAAAAATAATTATTAATATTAAATTAAAATATTAAGATATATCATAGAATCAGATAGAATATTATGGAAAAAAAATTAACTCAAATTTTATTCGCATAATTTTTACATTTTTCCTTCTCTTTTTTAAATTTTTATCCAAATTTATAATGTAAACCCAAAATATTTAAATATCAACTAATGTGAAAGAGTTGTGTCAATATTAAAAAAAAAATTTCCCCAGATTATCGGTTACAATAGGGAAAGTAAATACTCCTCCACCAACAAAAAGCGATGTACAATATCAACGGTATGAACTTGTATGTCAATTTCGATGAACAAATAAAAAAAATGTTCATGGTTTGTTATAGCTACTAATCAAAGGATTTATCACAGATGCAATTTCTGAACATCGTGCTCGACAAAAGAATCAATATGCCAGATTTAAACTTGAACAATGAAAATATATTGAAAATATTTCAAATAATAGGAAAAGAAAACACAACGGTCCAAACACATTTGACAACACAACTTACTCTTTGGAAAGGCATGACAAGACAACTCCAACGAATGGTAAAACACAAATTTAATAATTATTTTTGACATCTTTTACTGTATAGACTTGATTCTAATGCCTAAAATTTGTTTAATATATATGAAAAATAAGTGATGCATCATCGCAAATTGTTTGCTCTCTGACACATGAATCGCATGAATTATGTAACATGACACCTTATACATTTTGTAAAGCTAACATGTTTGAATATGAACCTCTGAGCTTTTGTTGCTATAAAGGAGAAATAGTGCTTGCAAGCCCCGAAGTTCCAGAATGTCTAAGGACCTTGTTCACTTCTCAAACTATAGAGGCTATTGAATTTCGTAGACATATTCGAGCATATAATAGCATTTTTGCATTCATATCATTTGGCATGAAGTTAGACAAGGAATTGTTAAATTCTAGACGAGGTGTTTATACATTTCGTGCACAAGGTCAAATATACCTTGATTTGCCATCTTTGATTCCATTTGGTAAGGATCCTTGTTATTTCCAGTTGTACTTCTATGATACAGACAATAAACTTCAGAAAATCCTTATGCTTAGTTTTTGCGTACACTAGAACATGTTCCATTAGATACTTTTCAAATCCATATAAGTACAAATGTGAAGTTGGATCAAAGGGTTTATAACATATAATAGCATTTTTGCATTCACATCATTTGGCATGAAGTTAGACAAGGAATTGTTAAATTCTAGACGAGGTGTTTATACATTTCGTGCACAAGGTCAAATATACCTTGATTTGCCATCTTTGATTCCATTTGGTAAGGATCCTTGTTATTTCCAGTTGTACTTCTATGATACAGACAATAAACTTCAGAATAGATTGAGTAAACTAAATGATGCACCACTTTGTAAGGTTGTTGTTGGTAAACTAATTGAGATACTTTAAGAAAATCCTTATGCTTAGTTTTTGCGTACACTAGAACATATTCCATTAGATACTTTTCAAATCCATATAAGTACAGATGTGAAGTTGGATCAAAGGGTTTATAACTTACCATCAAATGATCAGGTAGCTGCAATTTGGATTGAAGGAAATAGCCCAAATGTACCTCATGAATGTGATATTATAGTTCACTCAAATTCGGGGCATAAGCATATAGTGCAACACTATCATGGTTGTAACGATCCATTGCAATACCCATTATTATTTCCTAGAGGAGAGGTTGGATGGCATCAAAATATCCTTAAAAGAAATAGAGCTGGAGTAGATAATGGTGTCATTAACATGCAACAAAATTCAAGTATGCATTCATTTATATCAGGAGAAGACATTTTTAGACAAGAACAAGAAGGGACTTACTCTTTTCTAATGAAATCGTTTTTTATTTTTATCATTTTTTGTTTTTCATTTTTTTGGATTTTTATATACTAAAAATGTTAAAACAATGCAATTTCCATCTATTTCAACTGTATGTATATTTTATTATTTATAAGTATAATATAATTTTCTGTTCATTATTATTTTTATTCTAACTTCAAAATTTATAAAATTATTTTAGCCGTTAAACTTGTATTATAGAAATTTCATTCATATTTAAATATTTATAAGTATAGCATAATAAAAAAAAATGTTCATGGTTTTTTTTCTAAACTGTTACTAAATCTCTTTGTTTTGATGTTTTGATTTTACAAACTGTTAGTAAATCTGACAAGTTCGGATTAGTCTTAATTTGTTTTGTCTTTCATGTTGTTTTGTCCACAATTTTGTAAAGCTAACTCCAAAAAAAAAAAAAAAAAAAAAAAAAAAAAAACATTAATAATAACACAATTAAACATATGCAGGTACATTTAAACACTTAAGATTAAAAAAATATTATATATGACATTATTATTATTGCCTTATAATGAAAATATATAAATGACTAATTATATATATTTAGAATTTTACATTATTTAATATATATATATATACACTTACAATTTTCATTTCAAACAGATGTAATATCTATATCCAAAATTTCAACAACTACAATTCAAATAAACCCGATAACACCAGAAGCTGATAATATTAGAGAATTGTATATTAAAATATATATTGTTTCTATTTCCATATTTACAACTTTCATACAATAAGGAAATTAACAAATATTATGTGTAGTTGCAATAAAAAAAACAATTGAAAGCAACTCAAGTACAACGTTATAGGCAACAAGTAAGCAATGTTCCGAACGAGTGAAAATAGAAGATTTGATAGAACGTTCATTACTTGATTTTCAAGTATGTAATTTATCAACCTAATAATAATTGTAATAACTCTAAATTTAAGATTTCTCTTTACTTCACCAAATTAATATTAATATTAATACACCATGACTATAAGTATCCAAATAAAGTGCACATTGTTCCTTCAAAGTAACAATCAGTCGTATAGACAATCTAGACCAACCTTGGTATATTACTTGCAAAGTATGCAATAAGAAAGTTTATCAAGCTGAACAAGGAGTATAATGCACTAAATGCAACAACTCGAATTTAGAATATCATCCAAGGTATGTGATTGTTCTACATAATAACAGAAATTAATCTTTTGCATTTATTAAATAACAAAATTACAACCTCATAATTTATTTACATTTGTCACATCAAATATCAGATATTTGATGAAGCTTACAATGGGAGATGGAGAAAGACAACTACGTGTCATATTATTTGAAGCAGCTGAAAAAATTATTGGACGTCCAGCAACTGAATTCATAGCATCCAAAGACAAGGCAAGTTTACCAAATGCATAAACAGTGTCACATTAGTAACATACATATATAATAAAGAAAATAATTTAATTTAAAACTATACTATTGTTATTGTTGTTGCAAGAAGGTAAGAATAACAAATTCTATAACGCGCTAAAACTTGCGTCTGGAAATACATACATATTTATCACGAGGCTACACAAGATGAATGATAAGGATCACATATCTGGGAAGATTGTAGCAGAATAAGTACAAAATGACGAAGATTAATATGATATAGAAAATAAAAATAAAACAAATTTTCAAAAATCCTCAGAGGATCAAACTAGAGAAGAATGAATTTTGTAAAATATTTTTATCTTTCAATTTCCTTTAGTTAATTTATTTCAAAAACAACCTGGTGAATTATATATTTAATAGTAATAAGTCTGACCATATGATATGGAATGCAATTATGTTATGTGATTGTTTCAACCTACTTTTTAAACTTTAATACTTTAACAGAAATATAAATGCCCCTACACACAGGAATTCATACATTATTTCCTTGATGAATTAGCAAAAAAAAATCCACATATGAAGGACATGGAGTTCGATTACACTTCTAATCCAACTTATCAAATTTCAACCAAATAATATCTATACTTTCAAACATAAACATTAACAAAAAATAATAAAATGGTTCAAAAAGTAAACTAATATAAAACCTACAAACCAAAAAAACAAACATAAACATAAATATAAGAAAAATATCACGTGCAAAACGCGTGCACATGCACTAGTTATTAGAAAAGCTAGAGAGTCAAAAATATGCTAAAATATTAACTTTTTTTAAGTACTAATTTATTTACAGACTTATTTCAAGCCAATATATTAATTTAAGTACCAAGTAGTTATTCTTATTCATTGTTGATTATCCAAAGTAGGCAAACATATGTAAAACAATATATCAGAAAACAAGAGTAAACCAGCAAACAACAACTAGGAAAAAGACAATAAGACAAGAGAGAGAATGGCCAATAATTTTATTCACGATAAAAACAAATTCTCAATCATTGTTCCATTTTTCTTCTACCCCTTCAAACAAGAGGGCAATCATCTCAACAAAACAGCTAAACTAAACAGATTGATTAAGAGATTCAATTCACTCCAACATGCATATCCAAGCCATCTTTATTAACCATTGAAGAAGTTTCAGCAGAGCCTGCTTGAGATAACAACCCATGTGTGAGTGGCTGTGCCAAAAGACCACTTGATGGTTGAGCCATGTAAGGTCCACAAGTTGCAAAGTTTCCATAGCTTTTAGGAACATAGAAATAGCCATGGTGGTTGGGAAAATTCACCATTGGAACCAATGACATGGTCGGGTAAAGCGTGCCTCCCGGAAAGTTCTGCACATTGCCGGAGACTCCCACCTGCATAAACATGAGAAATTCAGTGAAAAACTAGTTAGGGCTAAGCAATTGAATCAATAGTTAGAGTTCCAGGTAGAGAGCCTCTAATTAGAGGATTTTCTTACAACTAATCATCATTCAAAATAATTTTTCTATTAGCTAATTAAAATAATACTTGAAAACTAATTTTCATATATGTGAATCATATAGTAGCCATCTTTCATTTCATATGCTTAAACAAAATATAAATCTACATACTAAACAACGAATGCCTAATGTCAAAGAAGGCAAAATTGGATTTCATCAATCATAAGTCTTTATTTATGACAGTAAATTTATTATACATCTCTATTATCTATAATTATTTTTTATATCAAGGATCTTTGATTTTTCTTATCAACTTTATCGTACACAACACACATTTTGATTTGAATATTGCAAATTTATAACTCATCACCGTCATGATTGATTGGTAGGAGACTTAAGAATTATTAGTTCGAGTGAAAAAAAAAGTTTTAGATAGATGTAAGAAATACATATTCAGGCCTCATTTAACATGTGCTTGTTTTAGTTTAAAAGTCGAAAAGTTACTAAAAAAACAAAAAAACTTATAACCTGTACTAAAAAGTCAAAGATTCTCTTTTCTCTCTACTTTTTGCATATCTTTTCATAAAAAATCAAAAAGTCATTCCAAACATATTAGACACTAATTTTTTTAATCTCATATTTTAGCCAAAAAGCCAAAAAGTTACTAAAATAGCCTATTTCCAAATGACAATTAGCCAAATTTAATTTCCTAACTACTATACCAAAAAAATGTAAAAAAAAAAAAAATCCAATACATATATTTCATGAATTCCCAAATCAATATATAATAGTTATTTGAAATTGGAACAAATGAGAAGAACTTACAGATGATTTTTTTTTATTTTTTTGGCACCCAATAAACTCTTTTTTGCATTTTTTTTCTTTGTTTTTTTGGAGAAGATATAATAAGCAAAGAAGAAGATGAAGGGGATGAACATGAGAGGCTTTGATGAACACATAAATTCTTCACAAACATAAATGCAAAGCAATAAAAATGAAAAAATAAAAAGAGGGAGAGTTGGAAGAAAAATAAAGTTTTCTAGAGGAAATGTGGAGAAAAAATGGTAAAATAAAGAGCACATTTGACAAAATATTAACTTGCTTAAAATAAATATGTGGCAACTTCTTCGAACTTGCTAATATAATGCATAATTTTATTTATATATGATATGTATGATTTCTTTAGTAATTTTATGTAATCCAATGTAAAATGAATTGTTCGAAATTGTTTTACAAACTTTTACGCAGTCAAATGAAAAAAAATGCAATGCATACATATAGATATTAATGAAAATACTTTATAACAAACAAAAGGAGTCTAAATGTTACTATGTCTACCACCAACCTTTTTTTCTTACCGAAAGGAATATCATGGAAAAGAATGCTTTTGTATTTAATTTTTCATGTCCACTTACATTATCATTTCCTAGCTAGGCTTATTTATATACTCTAGTAAGTAAACTGTAAGTAATTTTGCCTTCTTTTTCTTTTTTCTTTTTTTTTCTTTTGTCATTTTTTTCCCTTTTTTTCATAATGACATTTATATTTTCTTTATCGTACTTTTGTAAAAGCAATTAAAAATCAAAAATTCAAAATAATACATTTATAGATAAAATAAGAAGGGAGAGAGAGAGAGAGAGATGAGAGAGAAAAAAATGCAAAAGGAAGAGTAAAAGACCTAAAGATACAAATGCTTCTTTAATTCTTGTAAGCCCATCTCCAACGGTGCATCAAATTGTGCATTAGATTTGAAATTTGATGAAAAAGTCACTTTTTTTCTCTCCAATGGTTTTACCAAATTGATATCACATTGAGAATTAAACAAAAATTTCACCAAACTGAGAATGCGCTGGGTCTTTTACCAAAACACTATTTATTACCGTTGTACTTTCACTACCGGATGACCAATTTTGCACAAAATTTTGTACAAATTTTACACTGGGAGGTCAACCACCCAGTCGACCGCCGGATGACCCTCAAGCTTGAAAATTCAATTACAGAATTGTACAGATTTTGTTCTTTCCGGTCGACCGGTCGGTCGTCCCCCCGGACGTCCGGTACGTTTTGATGAAAGTTACAGTATACCGTTGGAGTGATTGATATCAGATTGAGCTAAATGCCTTTTTTTTACTCAAATTTGGTGAAAATTTTGTTCAACCGTTGGAGATGCTCTAAGGACTTGTGGTAGCCTTTTAGAACTTTTCAAGAAAAAAACTCTACTTATATATTACTAGTTTTATAATCAAGCCATGCACCGAATGTATTTGAAATTTAATTTTATGTAAATATGTATTGTACAATAATAATGCAAAAAAAACTCTCTTTCTTGATGCATATATCTAAAAACTCGAAGCAACACAAATCCAAAAATAAATGTTCTCAAAAAATTTAACAATGAATTAAAAGTTTTATAAAATTAATTTGTTATTACAATTCAAATGTATGCATTGAAGTAGAAAATCAAAAACCACAAAAAATAACTTAATATTGTACAAAAAATATTTATTAAAATTGCAACAAAAAGAGCACAATTTATTACGAACTCCTATAATTGAAACAGATAAGTAATATTTTCATTTTCAATTTTTTTATTATCATTTCTTTAATTGGATCTTCTTTTTTTTCCTTCTTTTTTTGGGTAGAAATCTAAAAATAGCTTAAAATTGTTTTTTAATAGTCCTACAAATGCATTTTAGGCATTGTTTTAATTTGTTCTTTGTTCTCTAGCATGACAATTTTTGAAATGATATTTTAATGAAAAATTCAAACTACAATTATCCTACAACACGTGCAAAAAGATCCAAAAATACACTACAAAATTCTAAAATACATAGAAATATTGATGGAGAGTTTTCATATAAAATAAATAAATAAATAATGGCAAATGAGAAATTTTGAGTATGTCACATGACAAAATTTTAAAGTACACAAATGAAAGGCACTGCTTTCTTCTAAAATAATTCTACAAATGCAACTTAGATATTGCTTTAATTTTATTTTATTTTTTTTTTCAAGAATAGAAGACAATTTTCAAAATTCATATTCGAAATGAAAATACATCTCTTTCTCTTCTTTTTTTTCCCTTCTATTTATCTCATAATATCAACTTATTTTAAAAATCCAAGCTATAATTGTCTCATAACATGCAGAAAAATCCACAAATACATTGCAAATCCACACCAAAGCTAAATATTGATAAATATTCTTTTCATCTGCGCCAACAATCTAAATATTTTATATGATATAATATATATGTGTATGTATTGCACCACAAAATTGATACTCCTGCATAACTAGGATTTCAGAACAAAACAAAGTAATACTTGGGCAAAATCTGTTAGGATATGGATTCTCTTACCATCGGCATGTATGGCATTTGGCGGAAATCAGGAACACCGTAACTTGCCGCGAGGGGTAAAACCGGGGGCGCTTCCAATGGGCTTGCAACCAATGCTGATGTACTTGCCTGTAATATTACAATTACCCGGTAATAGTCATTAATATTCATTTGCTTTCATACAACTAAAATTTAAATGCATTAAATTAGTACTCACAGAAACCTGTCCTTGTGTGTCACCAATGTTGTTCAAATTAGCAGCTGGTAATTTATCAGCCTGCATGAGTCCAAGAATTTATTACAAAAACTTGTAATTTCATACGCAAGAAAGAAAGGAAAAAGAGTCCTTTTTTTTAACAGCTAACCTGTGGTGAGATTTCAGCAGTTTTGTCAAGGGGTTCTTGAGAAGGAGAGTGGTAAATTTGTGGTTCATTGAAAGACATGTCGAAGAGGCTTGATCGGCGTTTCTTCTTGTCTGCTGTGGACATCCTGATAAAATACTTCTGAGCGTGGCTAGCCACCTGAGTCGGGGTCCTAGATGGCACGTAAATCCTCGAAACTCCCCTCCAATCACCTTTTCCGAGCTTCTCCAAACCAGCTAGGAACGCTCGGTGTTCATCCTCAGTCCATGGCACCCCTTAAAAATAAAGGCCAAAACATAATTTAATTGTGCTAAATAACCCAAAAATAATAATTAAAAATTTGCTCTAATTAAGAGCATTGCCTGCAACAATCAAAATTTATCTCTAGGAGTCTGCAGGGGTACCTTAGCGACAAAGGGGTTGGACCATGGGATTAAATGTAAAGCTGACCATCTAGATTTGACTCTTGCTAGTATCTTTCGGGCTTAACCGACACCTGTGGTTCTGTTGTTATTGCAAGTATCCCAGGTTTACTCTGCAAGGTTGGACCCAATATAGCCCTGCCTTGGGGAGGCTCCACATCAAAATATATATATATATATATCTAAGAACCTATATTATCTTTCAATTTGATGAAATTGAGGTCTTGAAGAATGGAATTACAGTATGAACCAATTCTAATGGGACATCCAAAAACAAGCAATTAGTCTATATCTAAGTTGAAACAATCAAGCACAAAAGCCTTGAACATGATAGTTGGGCAGCAATTCAATATGAAAAACATATCAATGCCCGGTATTCGATAACAAAAACACTTCTTCAACCCATTTGATCAGCATTGATCATAACATTAATCTTATAATCATAAACTTTCAGCTAAAATTGTGTCATATATACATATATATATATATATATATTAACGCTCTAGCCTAATGTAATATAGAGAAGGAAAAAAAAAAGGTATAGAATTGTATTTCAAATTTCAAACTGAAATAAAAGGAATAAATGTTTTAGAAGAAACCATAACTCCCATTGTCGAAAATTTGAAACATCAAATCAAAAAAAAAAAAACAATCAAAAGCAGAACCAATCTGGAGCAACACAAAATTGAAAACAATGATGTAACAAAAACAGAGGGCAAGATCGATGAATAGCTGTAATCCAGATACAAAAATAAACAAACCCAGATCACAAAATCATCAAAAAAAACATAGAATCAAAGAACAGAGAGAGAATTGATGATTTACCCTTCTTCCTTTCATGAGCATCGTTGGCTCTTTTGGAATGAATGAGGCCATCAGAGAGATACCCAACATCGAGAACGCTATGTTCGCCATTGCATGCAATCAAATTGCCAGTGCTCTTGCTCTTCCTGATCGATTCATCTTCTTTCTGTGTCAAAATAGTAACCCCAAAAAGCTTCAAACACCCTTTTCCATTCCCATTGCAAGTCCTCGAATTATGCCCATTGTGTCCACAGTGCGAACACTTCCTAACAGATTCCTTCACCATTATCTCCTTCTTTTCTTTCTCTCTCTCTCTCTCTCTATCTATTTTCTCTGTTATGAGATTTCTTGTATATATAGGACTCTCTCTCTCTCTCTCTGTTTAGCCATTGTAAATATAGAGAAAGATTTGCGTATCTGTTATTGGCATTATTACCCTAAAATTTATAATTACGCGGTTTTTTAACTTGGGGATTCATTCATTTATTTTTGGAAACTATCCAAACAGGTCCTTGCTCCTCAAGCTTTGTTTCTTAAGTGGGCCCCATTAAATCTAAGCCGTTTGATCCTCTCAAGATTTTACTATTATATAGCATACCTTCTTTGCTTCTAATTTTTTGGAATTTAATTTTTTTTAAATTAATTTTTTTATTTTTTATATATTTTTATTTTTGGTAATTTTTTTGATATTTTTAAAAAAAAGAATTTACCTTTTAAATGCACTTAACCTATTGTACTTACTTGTTTGGCAAGTTATTTTTTTAGTCAAAAAGTCAAAAAATTACTAAAAAAATCAAAAAGTCAAAGATTTTCTTTTCTCTTTACTTTTGCACATCTTTTTGTAAAAAATCAAAAAGTCATCCCAAACATATTAGTTTTTTTTACATCATATTTTAGCCAAACAGTCAAAAAAATTACTAAAAAAACATATTCCCAAACGAGGCCTTAAAAAGTAAAATATTTGTAAAAAAATATTTTAAATAATTAATACATACACAAGAATACAAAAATATATTGATTTTTTTAAAAATTTTTGGTATTTAGTAAATTTTTTAAAGATTGTTTCATAAATATTATAATTTTTAATTGTATTTTTTTAAGTGTATCTAAAAAATAAAAAATTAATTAAAATATTAAAAAATACTAAAAATGAAAAAAATATGAAAAATAAAAAAATTTATTTTTTATAAAATTAAATTTAGGAAATTGGAACCAAAGAAGGTCTTTAGATTCACTATCCAATAATTCAAGATTATTTTGTTTTTAAAAATACCGTGGTTTTTAAAAATACCGTGGTGTTTAAAAAAATAAAAATAAAAAGTTTATTTCTTAAATCTAAAACCATGTATTATTGTTTTTCTTGCCAAATTTTTGGTTTTGGTTTTGATTTGTGGATATCTATTTTGGATATTTAGGTGGAGTTTGATAATTCATTTTTAGTTGTTTAATTGTTTTTTTAAAATTAAACTAATTGATATATTTGGTAATTACTGAAAACCAGAAATATATATATATATTAATGAGAAAGTTGATTTTTTAGACAAACATTTTTTGATTTTTGGACTTATCTAATCAAAAAATAGCTTTTTATTAATACGAAATATCTGTTATAGTTGTTCTTTTAAGATAAAATAACTAGTTTTTACTCTCTTTTTCTTTTTTCTTCTTTTTTTTTTTTTTTCTTTTTTTTTTTTTTTTTTTTTTTTTTTTTTTTTTTTTTTGACTGGTTTAACTTAAAAAATAACTTTTAGCTAATGCCAGTAAGGGCTAATGATCAATAGAAGGGTAGTTTTCATGGCTAAGTTCTTTTCCAAATTTCCCTATTCTTCTCAATACTATCAATAATAATTTGAAATAAATAAAAATTTTGAGGCACGTAAATGTCAATGCATAATTAAGTTAAAAAAATGTTTAGGAACTCTAATTGAGGTGGTGATTATTGGGTAATCCTGTAACATGGCCACATGATATTTTATGATACGACAATGCTAGGTAGCTCAAATTTTTGTGGCTCAAATGGCTCAAATCTGTCAAAACGACGTCATTTTGATAGATTTTGAGTGTAAAACGACGTCGTTTTGACAGATTTGAGCCATTTGAGCCACAAAAATTTGAGCTACCAAACATTTTCCTTTATGATATTATGATTGATGGTGGGATATTATGATTTTGTGTTGACTGATTAAAAAACATGAGAGGCATAGTAAATAATAATTGGTGAAGGAGTATGGACATATGGTATTCTAAGAGTACCTAATAATTTTTCCTAGTTGAGTACCCCTAATCCACCCCTAATAATGATATGAAATAGACTCCACTGCTCACTCATCATTCTTCTTCTCTCTATCTCTCTTCATTCCACCTCATTAGAGGTCAAAATAAGAGTGATATACACAGCACCACTCATTAAGGCTTTGCTTGGGAAGGGTTAAAATGGCTAAATTAGCACAAAAGCTAATTTACAATTAAGAGTGTGCGCAATGTGATTTGGACGGTTTGTGAGTAAAAGTACAAATCAAATTACGAATTGGCAAATCATGATTTGGGCAGATTGGATGATTGAATGATATTCTTAACCAATTATCATGTATTTGCATAATATATAATACTAATTTGCATAACATTTTTTTCATATATATAACTACTAATTTGTAACAAATTTTACATCTTAAATCTATTTCACACTCATTTTTACTTGATATTTCATTAGAAGTTAAAAAATATATATGTATTAACTATAGCGGAGTGGAGCGATTTTGAAGGCGGATTATAAAATTTAAAGTTTAATTTGCGGTTAGGAGATGGAATGATGCGGATTGGTGCAGTTTCGACGGATTAAGCAGTATTTTGCACAACCCTACTCACAACCATTACATCCAAATCAAAAAAAGCTAAAAGTTTTTCACAAACAAAACTAATTTAGCTAGGGTAAATTAGCTATAAAAACCAAAAAAATCAGGTTAAATTAGTTCTTCCTAGACGAAAGCTAAGTAATTGAAAATTTATTGAGACAACAGAACAAGAAAAAAAATAGTACGAAAATAGAAGATTTTGCCACATGTAATTGGTTTGAACAATGTTACATAATATCCTAATTTACCACCCTTAAATGACTCTTAATGATATGCATTGAGGTTAAACAAATCAAAATTTAACACTTATCAAATATATCATTAGAAATAATTTTTAAAAATAATAAACTAAATATTTCAAGTATTTTTCATTGTCGGACTAGCAATAATAATCTTCTAATATTATGTGTTATTTTATAAAAGTTGGCTTTGTAATCCAATCCGTAATCCAGTTTGACAAATAAACAGATATTACAATATGATTAAAAAAAAGAGATAATTAATCTTGAAATTATTATTATGATTCAATGCAACAAGTTCTATACATGGACAATACTGTGGATTTCAATCAAGGGGCTATCCATCTCTTGATGATTCATCATCAACCCCATATACAACAACCCGATCAAATTCCTCAGATTCTCCATTAAATGAGACAGTTGACTACTTTCCAAATAATCCAACGGCCAAGGTTCTCCCCGGTTCGAGCAATTGAATTGAATGTCCGATTCGAATTCTAATGTGCTCCACATTAATTTTTTAAAAATTTTGTTTAGATTTATAAATTTAATAGTAGATTTAAAAAAAAAAAATCTGACTCAATATTTAATGGTTAAATCATTAATTTACAAAAAAAAAAAAATACAAATTCGAGCATTAGACTGTTCTCTTCGATCCAATTCCAATTTCAAATTAAAAAAAAAAACCATGCCCTAATCTCAAAATCTCTATATATCACACACCAAAAGTGGAAAATATGAGGTGGATCTCATAACAAATCTCATCCACTAAAAAAGGGAAGAACATGTTAAAAGGATAGGTCTAGTTGTATGGAATACGAGTGAGGGATTAAATTTGGAAAGGGACTAGTTAATAGGAAATTTCATGTTTCACATTTGACTGTTTTTTGTTTCTCTTAAAATAGGCCAAAATTAGTTGTGGATTTGTTAATCACTTCCTAAATCTAAGATACTTTTTAAATTTGGCAATCTACATTTTACATGGGTGTGAAGAAAAAAAAAAAAAAAAAAACCAAGAAACAAGACACAAGATATGGAAAAGATTTTTATTTTTACCTAAATTTTGAAATCGGATGAGTGTGTATTCTATACATAAATAGACATCATAGATTGTTTTGAGATTTGGGTGTGGTAGAGAGAGAAAGGAACTGGAGGTTTATCAAAAAAGTGGATCGCAGAACTATTTTAATAAAGAAAACTACATCGAGGAGAAATCTAGGGTTAAAAATTTATATATCCATATAATAAAAGAGAATGATTTTTGAATTCATCCTACACATATTTGTCTTATTAAGGCATTTGGACAGTTTAGATGTATTCAAATTATAAAACTAACGGCTGAGATATATTTTCAAAAAGAGCTGTGATTGAGGCCTCAAAATTGAGGCTCGAAATTGCCTCAAATGCAATTTTTTTTTTTTTTTTTCTGGGCTAATACATTACAAAAAAAAATAAATAAAAATAATAATAATAATAACAAGCAAAGCATCAACCCAGCAAAAAAAAAAAAAAAGGAAATTCGAGCCAAATTTGAGCCAAAAATTTGAGGCCTCAATCTTTTTCCTTTCAAAAAATATTCTACATGTCCATTTTCTATTTTTCCGTTTCTTTCTCTTACTTCTTCATTTTCTCACCCATGATCCCACCTTCCTTTCTCTTTTTTTTTTATTTTTTTATTTTCCTCCATTTTTATTTTTCTCTCTTTTTTTAAAAAAAATTTTCTCCTTTTTGTTCACTTACTTTTATTCATATTATATGGAAAAATCTACGATCCCAGAATTAGGAGCCAGATTTTACTATGTGTAGTGGAGATTAAATTAATGAATTTTATAGTCCACAAATTAAATGAATTTGAATAATTAATTATTATTTTTAAATATTTTGAATACCTGATAGATTTCATAAATTTAGATCTTATATCAATCTTCAACATCTATATAATAAAGCAGGATGATTTTTAAATTTGTCCTACACACATTTGCCCTACTAGGATATTTGGACGACTTAGATCTATTCAAATTATAAAACTAACGGCTAAGATATATTTTCAAAAAATATCTTACATGTACATTTTCTATTTTCCCGCTTCTCTCTCTCTTACTTTTTCCTTTTTTCACCCATTCTTTCATGATCTCAAGATCCCTCCTTCCTCTCTCTTTTCTTTTTATTTTTTTTATTTTCTCCCATTTTTATTTTTCTCTCTATTTTTTTTTTTATTTTCTCCTTTTTGTTTACTTTTTTTTATTCATATTACATGGAAAAATCTATGATCCCAGAATTA